CACCTCCTTTTCACCTTTAAATTAATCTCATCAAGAAGATGTGTTTCCTGAAGAAATACTATTTTAGAGTCCATTTTTTCAATCTATTCATTACTTGCTTGATTTTTTTGGAGACGTTGAAGACCCTGACAGTTCCATGAAATAAAATTAAATTTTACAATTTGAGGCATATAATTACGAAAGAGGATTAGGGCCACTGAAAAAAAAAAAAAAGTTAACTGATTTTTAAATTGTATTTCAGTTTAACATGGGAAAAAAGTCAGAATTCTGAAATTAAAAGTCAGAATTCTGAGAAAAAAGTCAGAATTCTGAGATTTAAGTCAGAATTCTGAGAAAAAAAGCCAAATTCCTGACTTTAATCTCAGAATTCTGAGAAAAAAGTCAAAATTCTGAGAAAAAATTCAGAATTCTGACTTTTTTCCCATGTTAAACTGAAATACAATTTAAAAATCAGTTAACTTTTTTTTTTTTTCAGTGGCCCTAATCCTCTTCCGTATATAGTGGTACTTTCATTATAGTCTGTTAATTTCTTGTTTTACATCTTGTAGTGTCACCATTACTCCATCAAGTTTTGTGGAGAATTCGCTTCTTAATGACTCCAGTACAGCCAGGATTTGATCCGGTTTACTATGATCGGGTTCACTTTTCCCTTCTTGTACAGCCATGGTTTTTGTTGGGATCTGGAGCTGTACCACCTTCCTCCAGCAGAGTGCGCCGTGGGTCCTCCTGAGCTGAGCTTCCAACACCCCTGTGGCCCATCTCATCATCAGGGGATCCACCACTATATAACCTGCCTTCAGACCTTGCCTCAACGCCGCAGTGTTGATCTAGTTTGGTTAGCAACCTGAGCCTAGTAAACCTGAGAATCTTTGCTATCTCTAGTTGAGATAAGATTCTAACTCTTCCTTGTTTTTTGCCTCACAGGAATCCTGTCTCTTCGTGAAGCTCTGGATAAGCTTAACCTGCCGAGCCTGCCCTCGTGAGCCTAACCTGAAGACTCTTCTCTGGATTCCCCTGCAGCTCTTGGTTAAGAGCTGGAAACCCAAATCAAGGTCTGCCCTCAAAGTCAGAAGTAAGACGCTGAAGCAGTTATTGGACTCTGCTGAACAAACAGTCTCTGGATCCAACAGTAACCTCTCTCAAAGAGAAACCCGGACTCCTTCAAGGTATTCTTCAGCTAACTCTAAGTATCATAACTCATCTGTCCCTGCGCTAACTGAACTATCATCCCTGCAGACTCCAGTGAACCTGCCCCCAGGCCTGAACCAGTTCCAGTTGCAATATTCATGTGCCTGTGTAACAATAAACCTTGTTAAACTTTTCATCAGCTTCCGTTTGTGTTCTGCATAATGGGCTTACTCAGTAACCAATCATGACAGTTTTATCCTTTTGAGCTTCTCCGAGGAGGTTTTGCTCAAACAGCTTGGATTGCTTGGATGCCTCGCTTTTCCCTTTGTGTTGTCTAATCGAGCTAGGCATTATACGTCAGATTGTCCCCTTTTTTTCGTAACAATCTTTGTGCTCAGTGGTTATTTTCCCCTTATTGAAGCCACAAACAGCAGGGCTAAGTTCAATGCATTTTCTCACGTGGCCGCCGTAACCGGAAGTCATAATAATAAACATTTAATCATAGATGTTTTTTATATATTCAAGCCCACATAGTCCTTTTCTATAGTGGGATCAGGGCCCTTGTTGTCATACGAGGCATATATAAGACTTACATTTTTGCGGCACCAGACAGATTTATTTTTTGCTTTTTTGGTCCAATATGGCTCTTTCAGCAGTTTGGGCTGCCGACCCCTGTCCTAACGCTTCCAGTTAGATAAATTACACGGGAAAACATTAATTCTGACACACAAAAAGCAGCTATTATTAGGGTTTAACAGACTCACACATCATCAATAATAATGATCCAAAATGTCTCAAATAAAACTAGAATTAATTATTGTAGTTATAATGTAAGAAAGTGGGAAAGGTTCAAAGGGTATAACTACTGCACTTAAAATTAACTGTATAAAATGCTGGTGAAGATTCTCCGTCATCCAGGTCAAAGTCATTCAAAAAAAGTTTTAAAAAAACAAACAACTGGACTTTGTTTTCCAAGTTTGAAGACGTTTTCCTTCTGATCCAGAAAGCTTTCTCGATTCAAAATGTCTGGAGTTGCGTTTGAGTTCCAGCTTTCTGGATGGCAAGAGAAACGTCTGCAAACTTGGAAAACGAAGTCCAGTGGTTTGTTTTTCAACTTTTTTGAATTTGTCTTTCAGAAATTAAAAATACTATTTCTTTTTGTCTTACCTCAAAGTTCTCAGAGGCTCCAAGTAACATAGCCAAATGTGTAACCAGCCTGACCAGTATAAACGGAGTCAGAGACATGTTTTTGCTGTCAAGAGTATCTGGGTCATTTCTCCTCTCAGGTTCTCCAAGGATATGGCCAGGTCTTGTACAATCCCTAAAAGAAAAGGTACAATAAATAATGACTACATCAAACAATGTAAATAGCTTAATTACCATATATTTCTTCACAATAAACAAGAAAACTCACTGTTGAAGTTGAATTGGTCTGAATCCTTGCAAGGCTCTATGATGCTCTCCTCCAACCTCTTCACCACACTCCAAACATTTTCCTCTCTGCATAGGGAGGCCACACTGAAGTATATGTCAATAAGACAGAAATTAGTATTTCCACTCACCTACTACCTATCAATAATACAAGAACAAGATTTGTAATAACATATTTCTTACCTCATCAACAAAGCATGGGTGATTGTTAGAACAAACTAGGGAAAACAAAAAACAAAACTGTAATTTACTGCCTTAAGTATTTCTAAACCTGAGAATTCCTGTCCTTACCAATATTATCAATTGAAGAATGACATCTTCCATTTTATTTTTGGATCTAATTAATTAATTAATTAATCTTGATTGTATTAACTTCTTTCTTTGCATATATTTTATGACTAAACCATATACATAACTTGACGAAATATTTTTCTAACAAGTTCAAATAATTATCATTTAAGTTTTGTAAATGATGCATGATTTAATTCAGTCTTTTTGTAAATGATGCTAAAGCAAAAGAAAATAAAACATTTACTTACATGATTAAAAAAATCAAGAAGAAATTATATACAGGTACATATATATATCATTATTATTAACAGAAGCCTCTAAATATTATTATTAATACTCACCATACCAGGTGAGATGACCATAATGTTGTTGTATTGCTGCTTGAGCAACAGCCAACATATCATCAGGCATCGTGGGTATAAAAGACTCCTATAATATCAAGTGCAGTCAGAACTGAATTAATAAATATTCTATTTATATTATTTTATGTTATTTTCTATTTATGTATTTTATGTTATTTGCTATTAATGCATTTTTTTTTTTAAGCAGGGATGTTTAAAAGCAAAGAAAGATCAGATAAGTAAGGGCACCTAAAAAAAACAACAGAAGACACTTAAAGCTACAGTGTGTAACTTTTAGCGACATCTAGCGGTCAGACCGCAGCAACATGAAAATCTCCCCCCACCGCTTCTCCCCCCCAACAGTACGGCGAACGTTACGGGACAAAATGTCTTCCACGACGTCCGCATCACCTACCTTAAGTGATGAGGTTTGTTAACATAGATAATTTTACAGATAGTATTTCATTAGTCTGTGTAGGGTATAGATTTCATGTAGACTTAAGATAATAAATATACCCGTTATTTTTTCTACATCGTTGTGACGTTTTGGCGATCTCACAATCGCTAGTTTGTTGGCTCTGCGCTGCCGTAGCGCAAAGATGTCTGCCTCCATGGCTGCGAGACCCGCTCCTATGTAAT